TTATTATTATTATTATTATTATTATTATTATTATTATCATTGTGCCTTGACCTTGACCATCGTTGTATAAACAATGATCTCGTGTCCCGTGACTAGTCAACGGATTAAAATTGCGATCTATCGAAGGTGGTAAGTTTGGAGTACAGAAGTGCTGTGTGCCGTGACATTTCATAGTCATACATATTCCACTCTACGTTTACGAAAAGTAACGATCGATATTGAATATCGGCATTTCCTTCGGCTACTATTATTAGACGTCGACGGTGCGATAGTCCACAGGGATGTAGGATCCAGGGGAGCTAGGTGAACACTTTTTTTTTCAAATTTCCTTTTGTATACTAAAATTGACGTATTACTACTTAAGATAAGGTAAGGTTCACTTTTTACCGGCATATCCATGTGGATGACTAGATTGAATTTTTGACTGTATTCGCATATTACGGTTCATGCTATTGAATATACTTATTGAACTAGTTGTCTTTTACATTCACCCTTAAAGCTAGATAAACTATAATTCAATACCGTAGCCCTTGTGTCTCTTCATGTGATAACTGGCTCTGTAATTCTTAAGTAGTAATTTAATTCTAAGTTTCGTATAAATATGAATATTTCAATTTAAATACGAAAAAATGATGCCTTAATGAACAGAAAAATTTCTATCATTTCAAAGCTTACAAAATATGTCGTATAATTACTTCTAAGATAGATAATGAACGCTCGTGTTCGGAGCATTAGAAGAAAGTCACGCGGGCTCAGCTTTCTATCTAATGCGAGGGGCTCTATACTCCCATAGAACACTGGCTTTCACTATGTAACCTTTACTTAAGTTACGATGCTCTCACGTCCACGATGCTCTCACGTCCCTGTCAAGTAATGGCAATTGTTAAACAYCGTCTCCCTATATTCCTGCATTAACTGTGTTCAACCTAATCGCCGTTTCCTTTCCTTTATCTGACAGCACTGACACCAGGATCCCTTCGTCTTGCTCGAGGCTCGAATTTCTCTCGCGTGGGAAGAGTTGAAGTATTCCTCAACAGTCAGTGGGGAACAATTTGTGATCACAGTTGGGACATGAACGATGCAAATGTAGTGTGTAAACAACTTGGATTCCCAGGGGCAATTGCATCACATTCCAGCGCTACGCATGGTCAAGGAACTGGGCAGATTTGGTTAGATGAGTTAGCGTGCACGGGCTCCGAGTCTAACATTCTCGACTGTCCTAGTGCGCGATGGGGCACCCACAACTGCGCCCATACTGAAGACGCCTCTGTGGAGTGCCAGAAAAGAGTGAGACTTGTTAACGGTGCATCTAATTCCGGTCGTGTGGAGGTGTATCATGATGGCCAATGGGGTACAGTGTGCGATGATGCGTGGGATATGAATGACGCTAATGTAGTTTGCCGTGAGCTTGGATATTCAAGTGCTTCTTCGGCTCCACGAAGTGCAACCTATGGTCAGGGAACTGGACCAATATGGATTGATGACACTCATTGTATTGGCAGTGAAGACTCCTTACTATCGTGTGGGTATCGTGGATGGATTAGTGGCAATGGTGGCTGTAGTCATAGTAAAGATTCTGGCGTCGTTTGCCAGTAACATATTAAATCATTGTAGAATCCAGATAGGAAAGTCAGTAGTTATGTAGCTTGACATGATAGGCTTTTACTTTTGCTTATTGCAATAGTTCAATAACTCAAGTATGTGATTGTACCTCTGATATTGTAAAGGGAAATGTACAATTAGCCATCGTTTAAAGAAATAGAATAAAATGGTGCATGGCAGACAAGGTTGGACATATTCTCCTTGTATCTGGGCAAGTACAGTTGAAATCATTTATCAAAAAAAGAGTATATTTCAGGTCATTATTGCTTATTAATATAGACAAGCGTGACAAACAAGTTGGGTGTGGCCCTATGGTGTCAACGAGTTCTTTTGAATGTCACGCTCTTATTTGAAAAGAAGATATCAAGGTTTCAGCTTTTCAGGAAGTAGGCTATAATGGGCTATCAGCGATATTTTAACACAGTTATTAAGTATGAACCCTTTACATGCTTTAAGCAAAAGAAAATATAAGAAAACGTTTTATAACATAGGGTGATAATTTAAAAAAGTAAACATTTCAAAGATTTGCAAAGTTCATAGCACATCCCCTCCATATTTTAGCTTCACCACAAAAAGCGTGGCATAATAGAAGGTCACATTACAAGTGAAAAAAAATTCGGTCTCAAAAAACATATAGGTCAAGCGTTTGCTACTTTTGAGCGCTGAGTATATTGTTCTAATGATATCGATATTGATAATATATGATTCTCCCAGTCCGCTTCAAAGTGCTATTTGATGTTCATTATAACTTTTCAAGCTTGGATTTTTCAAATGATTTTCAATGTTTTGAAATGAAAAACTAATGTTTTATTTTAGGCAAAGTTCATGTACCAAGCTGGATTCGATAACTTTAATAGGTAAAATTTACACTCTCGCGTCATAGCTTCCACAGCATCCGGCAAAATGTTCTCTAAAAAAAATACTAAAAACCCAAATATCTTGATATTTTTAACGTTTTGGTAAGAAGAAATATCAAATTTTACTTGTGGGTAAAAGTCGGTGTTATTCATGTTTTGGGTTTTGTAAACGAACGCAACAAATGTGCAGGATTTTCGCTTGGTCACAGTGCCTGTTTGATGCTCAATTTACTAGAACATTTCAACAACCTTTGAAGGAAATTAAATTCTGCTGGAAGTTTCGATGCTATTTTTGAAAATAGTTCACCAAATGGATTTGATTGATGAAATAAATAAAAAAAATTCGCGACTGTCTGGCGATTCTCGGTATTCACAGACAACGGCTCTTAAAAGAGTGATAATTGCGTTGATCGTCCAATGTTCTGTTAGCCAAAGGATGAGCAGTCTTTGAATCAGCTTTGTCTTTTGTCAGACCGCTGCTATGTTCAAACGACTTGCTCACTTGCCTCACGTCGTCCTTCCTTTGTGTTTTCTCACTGTGCTTTATTTGCAATCGTTTCTATCAATTAAGTCTCTCAAATCTCGATGTATTATTATGACGAAGCTAGTTACGAACGACTACGATTACGAGTCCAATAGAAATACAGACATGGAGGATGTGGAAAATAGTCAAGAAAGGAAAACGAGGGCGCATTTGCTTGTCTTCCATCGTGATGTCAAAGTGATAACAAACGGTTGGACATTTATGGTGTTTAGACAAACAATCAAGGAATGGTATGATTTTTGTAAGGGAGATCGTAAGATAAGAAAAGCTAGGGAACAGGGAAAGGAAGGTGACTTTCAATTTGGAACGAAGACGCTGGTTACGTAAGGAGAAGAGAGTGGACTGRTTAAAAAGGGGTGTCTTTTAAAGAGGAACGTTCACCTAATTAAAGAGATAAGAGGGAAGAAGACAGGAAAGATCAAAATTGGTTTTCGTAGGGGGTGACAAGTACTCTTCATGTCCTGAAAAAATGGACACTCAGTCTGCGCATGCTCTAGAATCCGCTTGCAATGCGTCAGCGGTTTTACCCAATTTTGATACCTTAGAGAAGATGGCGAGGCAAAGCATGGCTAATTTGTTTACCATGGAAATTTGTATTTTTTGGTCTTATTTTGTTCTAATTGTTCTTATTGTTTTACATTTGCGGATGGGAAACCTTTTAAGTCATTCAAGGTTAGATAGAAAGATAAGAAGCAAAAACAAAATAAAGAAATTTGGCCGCTACAATAGAGGAAGATGATTCTTCGTGTACTGTTAGTATTTTGATTTACATTGTGTAATTTAATCGATTATTGTACAGCAAATCTATTGTTAATATAATGTTGTAATAAGTTAGACAGCGTTAATTGAGCAGGAGTACAATGGCGCGTTTTTCACAACTTCGAAACGTTAGAACGTTTGACGTCCGTCAATCCAATATTTGGTAACAGCTGGAAATTTTGATAATTGGCAGCAACAAAAATGAAAATGTGTCGAATTAAGTGTCGAATCAAAAATGATTCACCCACTGCGATTATCATAAACTATAAAGTCAAGTGAGTCACTTTTTGGGACACTAACTTTTCGTTTCAGTACAATTTATTAACAATAAATTCAAGCATCCCGTGGAAAGAATAAAAGATCCATGTGTACCACCCGTTGTAACTCTTCAAGACAGAACATTATTCCACCTTTTTTTCCTTTAAATTGCTTATCCTGAGTATGATTTTACAACCTTTATGTGTTTTTATAATCCCACTTAATCTCCATGAAGTTTGCCTCTTTATTTAAATCAGTTTCATAACAGTACACTCAATTATGATAATCTTGCTTCATCTCCGTTACTATTGTATGTCCCACTTTTATAGAATATTTTTGCTTAAATATATTTACTACAGCTACAATATTAACAGAGCCCTGAAGGGCTAAAATCAGCGCCCTTGCTGCATAATGATGCAACTAAATGGCAATATGTTACTTAGTTTCCTTTCATCTCATTTGTCCAAACTAATCTCGTAAAGTGCTTACCACTCTATCTCAATAACTCTTTCTAGTCTTTTTACAAACAACCATATTCAAGAAGCTAATACCATTTTGAAGCGAGTTATGAACATAACATAACAAAACCTAAATATCAGAAGTGGTAGAGGATAATTGAATCCGACCAATTAAAAACAGAGGAAAACATGTTCTTCAATTCTAAAACTATGAAAACATGGAAGGCATTTTCAAACACTTGTAACAATGACATATCCATGTCCCATGTCGTTATAGCAACAACTATTACTTTGATCTATTCCAATGTTAAACGACCCTCCACCACCCCCAGAGGAATCAACGTCATTGTCCCCACTAGCACCCCCAGAGTATCCTCCTCCTCCCCCTGCTCCACCACCTGTTGTGCTGCCATAAGCACCACCACCTCCACCAAAGCCACCAGGTACTGAGTTCACATAAGATCTCCCTCCAGCTCCTCCTTGAAGAAATCCTTTGCCTCCCTCTCCGCCTCTACCTTGAGATCCCCCGAAGTTAGTACTGCTGCGGCCAGACGAGTAAAAACCACCACCACCACCTCCTAGAAATAATCAGAAAATAGTTGTAAACCACCACCGCCACCACCTCTTAGAAAAAAATTAAGAGAAAAATCAAGTTACAAGCCAACACCACCACCACCGCCCTTTGGAAATAATCAACTGATATTTACAAACCATCACCACACCACAGAAATAATCAGCAGATACAGATTATCCTTTAACTAATCATGCAAACAATAAAGGTACATTGACATGCATGCTTTGCTACGGCTGACCTAGTATTTTGTACAGTAAGGTTATCAGACAAGAGGTTGTTTCAGGGTATCGATAATATTTGTATTTTCTAGTTTCTTTTTGTGTACACGTATCAATTGGAATGTTATAGACTTTAGTCGTCTTTGGGAGGTACCTGAATTTCCGCTGTCAGCCGCTGTTGCTCCATTACCATTACGTCCTCCTTCCCAATGAGTCCCTCCGGCATTAGCATTACCATTTGTGTATACACTAGCATCAGCATTGGAGTATCGAAGAGTAGCGCTTTCGATACCAGCTCCTCCACCAGCAATGATCAGGGGGGTGTTGTGGTTTCTAACAACAAAGCTACCTCCTCCTCCACCGGCGGAACCCCCCTTAGCGTTTATGCTACCACCTTCTTGCCCAACCAGTATTTTGATTAATTCTCCTTTGAATAATTTAAATGTTCCAATTATTTGAGCACCCCGTCCTCGGTAAATACGAGTATTTATTTCTGTATCAAAACCGCCGCTTGCACCAACAGCTTCTATTCTATAAGAACCAGTATGTGGAACCCTCCATATTTGTATTCCAGATGATAAAGTAACCTGACCTTTATTACTTTGGCCATCATAATGACTACCAATAGATGTTGGACCAAAACGACCTGTTGCGCCAAGATTGGTGAACCGCGCCGAAAAGGATATAAATGGGAAACCTGAATTGAAACGAATAAAATTAAAAACAAGGTATGATATGGTATATAATATATATATTTAAGCACTGCCTAAAAGCGGAGCCCCCGATACGGAAGTCACAGGGAGAACAATTTGAATGAAACTGAAAGGTAAAAATAAGATCGGGGAAAAAATCTTATATTTTTTTAAAATAGAGATGAAGATAATTTCTCCCATAATAAAAACCATGCAGTGAAATTGAATCGAAATGCAGTAAATTGTGTTGTGTTTTTTTTGTTTTTTTGTTTTTTTTTGTTTTTGTTTTTTTTTTGTTTGTTTGTTTGTTTGTTTTGTTT